TCCTATGGCAGCAAAGAAGAAATTATTCCTGTAGGAGAAGACCTACCAAGTCTTGTCTATGCCCACCTATGGTACAGCACAGGAGGGAGAGGACGTCAGGGCACTCATTCTGGGAGGGTAACAAGGCAAGAGGTTTCTGCTTCTCTAGGTCTTAATGGAGTTTTGTCAGCCACAAGAGGTACTAACAGTTCTCACAATGAGGTGAACACAAACAAATCAGGATAAATTGCAGTCTTACTACAGTCAAGAGTAGCTCAAGATTATTTTCTTTTTTTAAATTACAGTTTGTTGACTTTATCATTAATTGCAAATCAAGTAAGCACCCTTCTTTTAACAGCTGTTGCTAAAAGAAGTAGTATCATTTTTTCCCCTTACAGCACATGATCTTGTTCCCTAAGAACAAGTTTGTTTGAAATAAATTCATTTACTGAAGTCAGCATTTTTTTCCCCAGGAGGAAGCAGACTTTGCACACTGTAAATGCTTTATTAGGGTCCACTCCAGACAGCAAGACTGAATCTATTGGCAAAAATGTCCATATTTCTGTTTCCCAGTGCAGCAATCGGAAAGGAAACAAGGGACTGCACTGTCATATGCTGTGGTACTACAGGATTAGCCACACTACCAACAATACCAAAGTTACAGGTGATGGGTAAGGTCAACACCAAGCACCAGGATGGGGTAACTCAAACTGAAAACACAGGTAATGCCTGTTTTTATGGCCATTTTCCCTTGTAATAGAGCTTCTCCCGAGGCAGCTAGAGCAGGAGGTGGCTGCAGGAACAGATGGGGAGCAGAGAAACACAGAAATGTATCTAGCAGCTCCCTGCTCCAAAAATACATTGGCACAAATGGCCACGTGGAAGCACAAACTGACACAAACCCAGAGTTCCAGGCAGAGGGAGAGAGGCTGGGCTGCCAGCAGCTTTCACCCTTGCAGGTTCTCCAATGTCTATTAAAGGGTGAAGTCACTGGCTTTTTACCTGCAGCCATGGGGGTCTGACCAAGACTCCACTCTTCCATCCAGAGGCCCTTTGTCACAAAACCCATAGAAACAATAGCTGGAGGTTTCCACCCCCACAAACTTTGGTTGAAATTGTCTGCTGAAACTTTCCAACACAACACTGAATTTGCTGGCCAGACAGAAAATTCAGGCATGTTTTAACATCACAAAAGAGCTTTTCCCCTATGAAGCAAAGCTAAAAGTAAGGGAGAGGTTCAAAAGGTTCAGAAAGTACGACACGGCAGGCTAACTTATCATAACCACTGACAACACAGACCCATCAACCACAGCAGCATTGTATGCCCAGAGAAAAGGGATGTCCTGGCTCTCCAGGGAAGCGACAGCAGTGTTGGTGTGGAACTAAATAAGGCAGCTTTGACAAGGCAGTGTGGCACAGTGGGCTGCCACAGCTCCACAAGTAGAAGATGCAGTGCCTTCATCCCATGCTTTGCCAAGCTCTCTGTATTCCAGGGCTCTCCAGCGTGCAGCTGCTGGCTTTCAGCTGGCACAGCATTTCCCCCCAGAAAAGAAAGAAGGGAAGTGTGGGAGCAGGAAAGAAGAGTTCCCTTTTTCCCCACCACCACTAGTCAACTGGACAGTCTTACAGCTTTGGATCAAAGGAGGTAGCGTGTCTCAAGCACTAGATGTTTACCATTATAGCAGTGTGGGTGATTCCACACCTTCTCAATCCTCTATCAAAAAATCCCTCAACTACATCAGTGACTATGAGAATTCAGGATGTAAAGATTACTCTTTGTGATCTTTCAGTTGAAAATTTAAAAAATCAAATCCCATTTACTGTAAGAAAAAAGGAATCTATGGGAAATAAAATGATTCCTTTACTGTTTTAAGATTGTCTATGTTTTGGTATCCTGAAAGGATATGTAGACATTGGAGCTCAGAGCAGCCATCTAAACGGAGGAAAGCAAATAATTTTAGCAAGGAAATAAAGAAAAGAAAAAAAATATAAAAGTACAGCTTACAACTTATAATTCCCTTTCTACACGCACAAAGCCCAAAAAGGGGAACGAAAACACCATTGTTCAAGGTATTTTAAAAAAGTGTCTTTCCAAAAGTGTTAACAGGAAACAGAAGCCATCCCAAATATGCCTCAAAACCAAGTAACACTGGTATAAATTCTTTCGATTTTTGTGGCATGAGAGGAAGTGGTGAAAAATGGGTCAGGACTTTCTCGTTCTTAAAATCTTCTTACATGTCAAAGATAAAGGAATGCAAGGGGAATTCACTCACTCAAGAGACACTTATTCCAAGTACTCTATCAAGATCTGCTCTTGAAGACAAAAGAGGAGTTCAAAAACCTTGTTCTCTTGAAATTTTTCACAGTTTTATACAGCTATTGCTCAAATTACCTACAGGAAGAGACAAACCACAACTCGATAAAAGACAGGTACGACTGGAAAAAAACAGACAAACAGAACTTGCCCACCTTCCAGCACGGCCAGAGCTGTGACTCCACAGCTATAATTATGTCAGGTGTCACCAGGAGCAGTCAAGGTTAAGTCCTCTGCTAATCAACCACAGATAAGTCAGCAACAGATTGGTTTGGAAATTTACAGATCTCAGTTAGATCTTTGCTGGAAAAAAGTTTTGACAGCTCTTTTCTGTTCTTTTAAATCTCTTCCTATGTACTGAGATAAACAAAGAGATTCAGAGTTTACTTAATGAGCAGCCACTGAAAGCTCCAAGGAAGTTCACAGCCATGCCTAGTGGCAGGGTACAATGTGCTGCCAACCTGCATTTAAGGATCCAGATTCTCCAATTACTTTGTTTAATACAGCTTTTGATACTGACAGTACTGGCCATGCACTCCTCCCAATCACAGTTGGGAGGAGAAAGGCAGTTTATCACACTGGATGTAAAAACACGAGGCATTACTGCATTAGTCTTAGCCCTAAAGAAAGGTCAGGACAATTATCGTCTCAGGGCATCAGGCAGCAACATATCTGATGGAAAGCCCAGAACTGACTTAAGGAATGCCTTCTGTCTGCCTGGCCTACGCAAAAGCTGGTGGGGCTTGTCCCAACAGGTGGAGATGAGTACATGCTCCCAGGAAAGCTGCCCGCCCATCAGAACACACATCTCCCACCACAACAGCCAATGCCACCCATCCGGCAGCCCGGGACAACTCTGGCCCATCAAACAGCTGCAAGGAAGAAAACATTCCTTCTTGGGTGAAGAAGAGGAAGGCAGAGAACATGAAGGGTGCTTGCAGGGGTGGCACAAAGGAAATGAGCAGTATTGATATGGACCATGGTTATATGGGAGCCAAAACTGATGTGATATGAGAGTCTTAAAATACTCTGGATTGCATTAATTCAGTTGTTCTTGGAACTAGAAATTGTTTTGCCCTTGTGATGTTTGGTCAGCACCAACATCATTTTTCAAAACAGTTCCATCAGAAAAGAAAGGTCAGATCTGCTGGTGTGTTGTTAAGCTGATACAGCAGCTCACCCAAAACAAAGCCCACAAAATGACTGCAAGAGACAGAGTGTGCACATGAAATAAAACCCCAAACCAGTTTATTCTAAAATAAATACACAGAGCCACAGAGATAGCAGTTCAGCAGCTGCAGATAGTTAAGCAGCTGGAGAGCCTGGCCATAGCTTTGGTATAATACTCAAGAAAGCCTCCTTAAATAATAATAAAACAAAAAGAACTCCCAATAATGACTCTCCACTACAAAGAGAACCTCAATAGGCAAACAAGAATTACTTCTGCACTGCTCATTTTCACAGGTTTGCAGGCAGCTAGAAACTACAGTTCAGAAGGGCATGCACTTCTGAATCATCTCAAAAGCTTGTGCGTTTTAAAGCCCTACAGTGACAGCACAGGGCACTGAGTCAGGATCTGGGTGATTTAGCTGAAGCATTTTAAGATGCTCTTGCCTGCAGCTGTGGCTCATCTCACCGCTCAGGCAGATTTTCCTCCCCACTGCATCAGGCAGCATAAGGGAGGTGTGCAGGCTCCTCAACTGCTGCAGCTCACACTCGCCTCACAAATCAGAGCTGAAGGTGATGGTTGTTAATAGTCGCACACCACACAGACCTACTGTTGCCCTATCTCTGCTTCAGGGCACAAGACAACTTCTACTCAGGGACAGTGACATCCCGCTCCACTCCTGAATCCAGAAAACCTCATGAGTCAGAGCCTTAGACAACAGACATGTTAGTTATGGTTCTGCTAATTTTAGCTCGTGCTTAACACACAGTTCCCAAGTCCCTGCAATGCCTTCCCAGGTGCCAAAAGCCACAGCTACCCTATACCTCCACTGCCAAAACACACAGCTTCCCAGATGAGAGGCTCTGGTGCACTTACAGAAACTGAATGCTTCAGAAATACATTTTTCATATGAGGAAGAGGAAGAAAACAAGGCCGGCTTTATTTACCCCACTGCTATGTGCATATCTTAAAATAAGGAACAAAAGTTCAGCTGCGTAGTTCCTGTGTTTCAGAGTCCACTTGAGGACACACAAGACAGACTCTGTGCAGAGGGTAGCTCAGGAGGGTCCTACAAGGTATCAGAGAGCCTGCCAGGGCCAGCTTCTACCCCAAGGAGTGAAAGGAGAGAGAGGGGCAAGGGAAACAAACACACACTTCACACACTCTCCTCAGAGTAAACTGGGAAAGCTTTTAGAAGTAAATAAACACAAACACACCCCCGCCCCCATATTCTCAGAAAGCCACCCAAGCAGAATTACTACCATAACTGAAGGGTTTGTTTAATAAGAAGAGTTTCCTCAGATTTAGTCAACCTTACCAGCCTCCTCCTCCTCTACTTATTCACACTAAACTGTGAAAGGGACTTCAGCTCTCTCCAACCAATTAAAAAGTAATTGAAGCAGCAGACTGGCACTATACAGCCTGAGCAGACTAAGAGACTGAAGACTCAGCTCAGATGAGGCCTATGCAATGTCATAGTATTTCATTTTATTTAACCTCATAACACAAAGCACTGAAAAAAAGAGCATTCACAAGGATCCAATCCTGCAAAAAAAAAAAAAAAAAAAATTCTTCATTCCAGATCAAGTCCACTGAGTTCAAAAGAACAGTACACGCACTTTAGTGCACGTGTGCACCACAGTGCCTGTAGGAACAGAGCAAGGTTTTATTTGTTCAAAAAGCTCTGTGAGGAAGTTGCGCAGTTTCACTCTCAAAAAATAAAGCCGTGTCAGAACATAACTAAGTGGGCAGTTAAAGGGGTGAGGATTGCCTCCTCGAATGGACAAAATACATTAACATACACTTGGATATGATCTAACATTTTCTGCATTCAATAATTATTTTTGTTAACGCTAGGGTAGTAAGCAATGTCAAGGAGTTGCTGAAAAGAATTCTCTCTCTCTGAGAAAAATAAAATTCAGAACCAGTATTTAGACCAAACACAAATCGTTCTACCTTACAGATACTAAACTTTGTGCCTGCTTCTATCTTTCAGGAATCAGACACAGAGTTCCAAAAAAACTCTCAAAAAGTTGCTGCAAATACAAAATGGGTGTACGTATGCAGCACTGACGACCTAAAAAGTTAGCAGCAACAAAGATTTCACATATACCCCCAGATTTCCTATTGAAATCTCTTTGCTGCCAATATGCAGCCAACAATTTTGACAAGAAATTCCTAACTTGTGGTCCATGGAACGGACCCAAGGCTGTAAAAAAGGGCTAGGAGGCGAGCCTGGTAAGGTAGGGAAGGAAAGCAGCTGGCGTTAAAGAGTCAGGATTGACAGAAGTCAGGCAGAGAGTCCAAAGGAGCAAGTCTATGTTTCTGCAATCATGGATTTATTTTTTTTTTTATACAAAGAAGAGAGATGCAAGGTGACAGAGGAGAACTGCTTCTGTGTATGGACAGTAAGACAGTTTTAATTGACTGCAGAAAGAAAGCGACAAGAGAGCTGTAAGGCAGTTGGTAGTGATTATTTGGAAAGAGTAAGTTTGATACACAATTTAAGTCCTCAAAAAGTCCTCAGTCAAAACTGGAATGGAAAAGAAAATGCTAAAGCATATTTGGAAATGGGGTTCGTCTGGTGTTGCATCAGATCTCAAAAGTATAAGGACAGAGTATCATTTCATTGAGAGGAGAACAGAAGCTAAAATGCAGAAGAAATTGCACAGTGCCTTCCTTGCACAAGCTATAAGTGTTACAGTACACCTATACAACTAACACTCCAATACAATCAAAAACTCAGCAGAGCAAGCCCATGAGGAAAAAAAGTATGGTTTATGGCAAAACTGACTCAAAGAGATTAAATACGATGACCCTTTATAATTAAAAGCTCTTAGGTACTCACAAAATCCCCTCTAACAACTATACAAAGCAAGGAAATTAATTGAGCAATGTACAGCCTGACCCTGTAGGGGAAATCAAGGATTTCTACAGCAACCAGTTAACTCCAGTTCTTTTGGTGGCCTTCAGCACTGATGAGTTTGCTGGAAAGCAGAAGGCAAACAGATCAGTGTGAACCGTGGAATCTCAGAAAGCTCATTTCTCTTCCATGCACAGTGCATGCCAAATCTTAGGATTCCTGCAGCATCCAGTTATGAAACTACAATAGAAGAGAAAAACAGATGGCTAAAGCCTGTTGGAAAAAAATAAAAAAAGATTAAGCCTTACTTCATTTCCAAGGGAGAAAGATGTATATTTGAAAATACAGAACCTACTTCAGACCGTACCTAATCGATATAAAAATAGGCAACTTGCCTTATGGACGTGAAAACTGTCTTCAGTTAAGGCTTTTAAACGTAAGAACAGTTTAACCCTTTTAGAACATCATGGCTCACTGTTTTAAGCAGGATTTAAAAGTAAAGCAGTTCACGTAGATGACAAACATTACAAAGATTGTACAAAAAGAACATACTTCTTTATCTCTAAAGCAACCCCTGAATACAAATCCTGTAGAAAAGCCTCTTCAGGTTTACTCTTTTCCAGCCTTTATAAGCAGTTAGCACCCACGTTCAGGTGAGCAGCTTGCTCGCTCATAAAAGCATCTAAAGGACAATGACATATTAGGAAGATAGCAACCTCAGATCTGTAAGTTAAGCCATTCTCTGTGGAAACCAGTCAATATTATATCTGAAGCCTCTATTGAGTCCTTGACTTGCGAGATATCGCACAACAATAAGGAAACATAAAAGCCACCCTAGAGAGCTCATGTGTTCAGCATTAGATGTTTCAGCAGCTCTATAAAACTGCTATCAGAGGTTTAGGTCCAAGTACTAGAACGGATTTCTGGTCCAAAGGACAACTTCCCTCCTAGGAGCCTCCTCTGCTGAGCCTGTGTCTCAGACAACCCTTGACTCAGTTGCCTGAACAGAGGCCTCCAGCAGCTGGGGAGCCCCAAGGTACACAAGAGATGCTTGCCAGGCTGGCAGGCCTGACACAGGGTCAACAGGAGACCTGGGCTTCTCCAAACTGGCAGCTGGGACTGGCAGTAAACCCGGAGGTAGCTCAAAACAGCACCTGACACCAATGTTTAGGAACTGAACTGGGTCCCCTGCACAAGTCACAGCATTACACTTGCCAGTGATGCCCAGGTTCTATCTCACACAAAACCAGCACAGAGCAGTAAATACGGGTCTTTTTTGTAGGAGCCTAAGCACAATGAATGAGACTGATTTCTGGTTTTATTCAATGACTCTGCACTGAGGATAAGCACTAAATTAACTCTCTCCTATCAACACATATTCCTTTCAGGCCAGGACTGCAGCTCACTGACGAGGCTGGATAGAAAATCCTGAGCTGCCCTGGCTTATTCCAAGGGTAAATGGAGGATGATGCACTCCAGCACTTCCTAGTAAGCGTCTTTAAAAAAAAAAAAAATATCAAGTGCTTATATGATTAATGCAAAGCATTTTGATTTCACCCTAGCAGAACTCACTAATCCATATTAAAGACCAAGACTACACTTGTTTGTTTATTTATTTTAATGAAAGGCTCTAAATAAACCAACTGTTCAATTTTTCAGAGGTACTAGGCAGCCACAGTAATTAGGTCTGGGTCAGTGGGAGCTGCCAAAATGCCACAGAAGTGACTCAGTCCTGTTAATTATCTGAAAAATAAGGAACAGTGACAACACTGGACACTCCATCACAACCTGTCTCCCTCCAAACACATCACCAATGAAAAGCCATCATTTGAGAGTGGCTGTCTCTAATCATTAGTAGGGACAAGAATCACAAACTGTAGAAAGCAGAAAAAGCAAGGAAACGAGGTTTCAGCCTAATCTGGACAAATGCTGCTATACCTAGAGATAACTCTTTAAAAGAGTGAAGCAGCAACACCAGAGTGGTAGCAACTTTCCACAAAGCCAGGGTAACCAGAAAAAAGGCAGGAGCTATTTTAAACGCTAGGTTTAAAAAATTAAAAAAAAAAAAAAAAAAATCAAAAACCAAACAACCAACAAACTCAAATCAATAAAAGTCCAGAGGAGACAAAGAGTATTAAAGCCAACCAGAAACACACCCAGCATTGCAAACCATACACGACCGGTACAAAAACATCCTAACACACAAGTCCTTCTCTGAACAGTCAGGCAAATGTAGACCCAACAGAAGATAGCAGTTCACAAAGAGGCACACAGCCTGTTTTGGTCATGCACAATCCTTGTTCACAGACACTTCTCAGTTCCAGTGTGTTTATGGCTGTGTTGTCATTTATTTTAAAATATGAATGGAGCATTCTTTTCCTCCAGAAACACTGCATTGTTAAAATGCCAATACATTAAAATAACTTACTGCTTACTACATTACAATCAAACAAACTACAGACTACAGCACTGACACTTAATATATACTCAATACTTTCAGCAAGAACAGCATATGGAGTTCATTTCTTCTGTTTTGTTCTCACATGGGCCAAACTCAGAGACAAGACCTAGAAACAGATGAAGCACTGATCCTGTCAGCATGTACAAAAAAATGTATATAAACTGCACCTTCTCCAAAGGATAAGGAAAGATTTAGTTGAAGGCTCTCAAAATAAATAAATATTTACCCCTTTGTTTCATACAGAAGTTTGACTTATGGCAGAAATATTGTATTTTAGTTTGCATACTTAAGGAACATTTTTGTTAAGGTTCTCCAAATAAGAGGAAGCAGAAGCAAAAAACCCACAATCAAAGGACTGTGTGAGTGATGTTTTTCCCCATTGTTACTTTTCCTAGAATTCATCCACATTTCACCACCATACTGCTGCTTTGTCAGAACCAACACAAGTGCTGACCTTGCCTATAATTATATTCAAGAACATAAAATGAAAGTTCAGAAAGATGACCTAGTTTTAAAAATTAGTTGCATATCTGAGTCTTTGAAAGGCTGCTTTCACACAAAGGCATTTTGCTAGGTGGGCACTCTCACTTATGATTAACCCATAAGCTGTTTCTAAAATAATAAGATCCTTTACAAGAGAGCTTTTGCGTATGACCTTTTCTTAAATCAAGTGACAGTTAGCTGCAATTCCGATGGGAACATTCCCCTGCAGGATTCATACTTTAGTGCTGAAGCATTCTGCCAATTCTCAAGCAGTGAGTAAATCAAAGTGAAAATGAAACTAAAACAGGCTTGTTAATGTAAAGTGAACATAAAAAGTAATAAACTCAACTGCTGAAATAAACCTGATAAACCAAAATTACCGTGGAAAACTCTTTGGCCCCTTTGGGACAGTAGATCCCACAAGATAATCACAAACAGCCTCCTTCAACTTCTACAATGTTTTTATTTGTAGTTTCCTCTGCAAAAGCAAGGCCAACTTCCAAAACAATTCTGTTTCTTAACAATATTTCAGAGCATTTTAGGCACGAAGATAACTTACTATAAAAAACCCCCAAACCTTTAAACTGACAGCGTTCCTTTAAGACAGAGCAGTGAGCAGCCTTCCAGCATATTTGACAGAGATTTCCTACTCCAGGAGATAGAATTTAAATTTGTAGAGGCAATTACTCATAACCAGTGAAAGCAGCCAATGCAATGCAAGTGCCAAACTTGCCAACAAGAATAAAGGCCAAGTATTAGAAAGGAGGCTGCAGTTTATTACAAGGCAATTTGAACATCTCGGTCCATGAGGTCTGGAAAGTATTTTCTTCATCCCCTGACACTACAGGCTCACACTAATGTGAGGAATTATGTCAGTAACATCAATATTCCAAACATATAAAACAGCAGTTAAGTATTTCTATCACAGAGATCTTTCCCTGACTATTTAAAAGCTGCCTCTAGTCTTCCCTAGCAGATTTATTTAAGCTCATTTTGCAAAGGAAAGATCTGCCAGACCCACAGCATTAACCATTAACTGCTGTCTAGTTGGCTACAAAGCCATCCAACTGGACCACCACTGCACAAAATTCTTGTCTGACTTAACAGTTACGTTAAGGCAATTCCCAAGGACCTGTCTCTTGCCTCTTCTCGTTAAAAAATAGAAAGGAACAAGCAAGAGAAGGAGAAACATGACCTCTTCAGGTAAGAAAGTCAAAAATCAAAATTGGCATCCACCCCAGATATCCCACCACCACCACACCATCTCCAGGACTGATCTCAAATGCCTCAGTCAAGTAACAACAGTGACAGTAGATAACTCCCACCCATGATGAGTTGAGTTGGCAGATGGAAAACAACTCATGGGAAATACTTAAAAAAAAAAAAAACAACAAAAAACAAAACCAAATAACAAAACCAACAATTAAAACCATACCACTAAGTCACATATGTCACAGATGCCAAGCTAATAAATGCACCCTTCTCTGCAAGGTAAAAACAATGCCAGCCTAAAAACTGAGAATACAGAACAAACCCAAGTAGGTCCAGGATAACTACACAACAAACCAAGCACTCATTGAGAAAGACAAGTACCCCACTCAGGCGCCTCTGCAGCAGGCAGGCAAGAGAAGGCAAGGGGATGCAAGAGCAGTGCACACACATCAAACAATACAAAATGAGCAACATCCTTCATATTTCACCAACACATCTTACTCCATCATTTGTGCAGCAACATGAGCCACTTCTTACCATTTCTTGGTGCACTCGACCATCAATTCCTGGTAAGAGGCCACAAACTGGAACTTGGATGCATGTTTCCCAACACGCTGCAGCCTCTTCCAAACTGAAGCCATGGTGGTGATAAACACCAGTCCTCTTACACAATAGCAAGTCTGTGAATACCAATGTAGGTTTAAGAGAGTGTGTGTGCTTGATACTAGCAGGTTTATATACAGACACGGTAAAAACAGTACGTGAGGAATGCGATAGGATGTCTACAATCCATATTCTGCCTCTCCCTTCTTCACGGTAAATCCCAGTCCAGCTGAATGGCTCATCACTGGCCAGGAGCAGCAAGCAATAGCAGGAGACAGGTAATCAAAAGGAAGTTCTCTCACAGAATCGCCATTCCTCGCACAGTAGATGAAGTGAAGACTGCAGGACTGGAAGACAAGACAGGGGGAGAAAGCACTGGTTAATATACTCCACACTACAGTGCTGCAATTGCACGTGACCTTGTACCTTTCAAACAACTACAGTGAACTACAAAAACATACCCCCTTCCTGTTGTCAATCCCCCCACCCCTCCAATTAAATAAATAAATAAGAATGCTGCAGCAATTTCAAGAATGCAAACCACGAGACTGTTTGGAAACATATCAACATGTCCTTTTATCAGCACCATCACAATTGGCAACAACAACAAAAAAAGGGCAGGTCAGAGCCACACCGGATCCTTATGAAGCATCTCCGTGCGAAGCATCTCCGGGAAGCAATGCAAAGTGGCTGAGTTGCTGCCAATATGCACCCAGAGGGAGGGACACAGGGAGATGAAGTTCTTTGTCTTGATGACAAAAGGTGTAACAGTTGTTTCCTCTCTTACACACACACACACCTCCTGCTCCCATTTCTCTGTCCAAGGAGAAGGACCAGCCAAAAAGCCAGCAAGGGAGTGTTACTACACGCCCGTGACAGGGTGATGAGGAGGATGAAAGAGGAAGGGGCATCTCCCGAGGCTTGGCTACTAACCAGGATTCCCCATCTTCCTCGCTGCATCATACTGAAATTGAAACGTCTCCCCATCCTGCACGGAGGAATGATCCATCAGGGAGGTAAAAAGCGAGAGGAGAAAC